TCCACTAATTTAAATGTTGATCTCTCTTTTAGCAGTATAAGGTAGTTGTATGTATTGTATAAATACAAATCCATTTTATGTTGATAAAATAATTTTGTTTTGATTGTTGATTAATATAAATATAGTTTAATAGTTACCAATAGATGTAAAAATATTATTATATATATAGTTAAGTAATGAAAATTAATTATTGATACGATTTTTTCAGTTATTTATTATAAAATTCAACAAATTTATCATTTATAATTGGATAATAATGTAAAATTATTATATACTGCTGGTGCATAACTTATTATCTAATAAATATACAAATCTAAACATATACTCTCCGTGATTCTTTTATAAGAAATAGTTATAATATAAACTACACTGTTACTTATTTCTTATATAAATAACCAAAGATAATATTACATAATAGAAAAGGAGAAATAACTGAGTACATAGATCAACTTACACATGCAATTTTGTTCTAATTCAATAAATTATTTCGATTATGCAATTAAGTTAACTATATAGAAGAATAAGTTTATCGCCTATAATTATGTTTTACGATTCGAGTATGATTGTGTTCCATAATATTTTGGTGGACTAGTGGTTTTGCATTATGTGCTGAGTAGGTCCATTAATGGGGTAAAACACTTCCTCACAAATTTTCAAAGGTACTCCATATTTAAGCTCATTGTAGGTGATTGTGTTCCATAAATGATACATGTTATATCTAAATAAAAAATAAAAAAAAATAGAAAAACAACAATATTCGAATTTAAAACCTTTATACATACTATCTCAATCTCTCCGCTAGATTGATCCTAATGAGAAGGGATTAAAGATTCATTTGATTTACTATAAAAAAAATGATTAATTTATATAATGTGATGTATATTTTAATGTGAAACATGTTATTAAAATTAATTTTAATATTCATTCAAGTTACGCTAAATAATTTAAAATTAACTTTATTGGAATGTAAATATATGTAATTTAAATGGATACTAGTATATATACCCATAAATAGTAATTTTCTTACCCTAATTTAGTTGACCCCTTTTGCAATTTTCGTTAAGAGGTGACAAAGAAGTTGCAACGTGGTGTCATCATTCATCCTTTCACAATCTGCCTAAAATGGCTAGTCTATATCGTATTCATTCTTAGAAATAGTGAAAATAATTTTTCCATGCATGAGTATGACTAATTTACATTGCTTTCTCCCAAGCTAACGAAATCAACCCTACATCAGACCTAGCAGTTATAACAAAGCAAATTAAATTTAATGTTGAGACTTGAGAGAAATATCCTTTCACTATATTTCCTTGATTTTTTTTTCCTAATTTTTTTTCCTTCAAATTTCTATTTCATTTTAAGAAATTGCTTTATTGACAAATTCTTTTGCCCTTTATTTGACATGGAAAAGAAAAGAAAGATAACAAAGGAAAAAAAAAGAATATGAAAAGAAAAAAATTAGAAAAATATAAAAATTTTAAGTTATTTGGTATGAGTGAAATATATTTAAAAAAGAAAAAGAAAAGGAAAGCAAAATTCTCTTTATTGATTTGTTTGGTTAGAATAACAAGAAATAAAATAACTTTTTCTTTCTTAAATAGACACTACAATAATAATAATAATAATAATAATAATAATAATAATAATAATAATAATAATAATAATAAAACAAGTTAATTAAGAGAATGATTAAAAAAAGGGAAAAAAAACTGACTAGTAAATAATGTGAAAAAAAATCTAGTGGATTTGATTTTTTTATTATTTTTTTTTTATGGTACATATACTATTTCTATTCTAAACCAAACAATTAATTGGCTTATACTCATCTTAGTAATAAAAAAAAATAACTTATACTATCCTAACCAATTTTCTTTTGTTAATTCTTTTTCACCACTTTCTCATATACCAAATACAACGTAAATTTTCCAGAACTTTTAAGTTAAGAATATTATATTTCTACAGATAACTTTTTTTTTTTCCTTGCCAAATATACGTGTCAACCTCCTTTTGACACATGTACGGACGTAAATACTATACCTCCTGGATACCTTATATTTTCATTGAAATAAAAACTTACTTTACAAGTTTACATAGAAAAAAAAAAAAAGATACTTTGTTATCATATTTAATCTTATTTTACTTATGATGAATAACAGGTTGTAAAGCTGAATTATTATTATTATTTAAAAAAGATTAATTTTATAACTCACACCTTATTTACATTGTTGCCAGCTAAAATGAGGCACCGAAACCTCTTAGAAAATTAAATCCCCATACATGAATGCCTCTTTTTTTGACTTATATAAGTGAGACCCCGTTGAGTATCTCTAACAGTCAATGGCTATAAAACAGAATTTTTCAGAAGGCTTTTTAATGGAAAATATATTACAAATTTATAACAGTTGTGTAAATTTTAAAAAATAATAGAGAAATAAATGTCTTTTTCCAGATTAGAAAAAAAAAAAATTTCAGAAAAATTTAAGTAAATTATACCGTATCACATAATGTTTCTTAACAATCGCGTTTTCAATCACCCGAATTGCACGGTGAATCATTGTCGGTGACCCAGTAATTTATTGTCTTTTTTCTAAAGTGGAATTTAAAATATAAAGATTTAATAGCCTTAATAAATTATCGAGTGCGTGAATTTAACGTCTTTAATACAAAGTTATTTCAAAATTATTTATGTTTAATGTAAGATAAGTTTGTATTTAGTTCCTTCAGTTCTTGTAATTTTTTAAAAATTTTATTTTAATTTTTATATTTAAACTTTATTAAAATATCTGTCGAATATTGTTATATAAAATTTACTTATTGATATTTTTATTAGTAAAAATATCACATTAAATCTAGTTGATAATATATAACTGTCTCAATCTATCACTGTCGAATATGTTATTGATGATCTAAAGTACTAAAATAAATTTTATAAAAATTATAAGACTAAAAATAATAATTTTAAAATTAAAGAACAAAAATAAATTTATCTTAAATTTAAGAAACTAAAAATATATTTAAACCTATTAAATTTAAATGTAAATATCTTGGATTAAATATTTAAAATAAAAACTTTGATGTATATAATAATTTTGTCTAGTCTTTAAACAATTATCACCACCAGAAGATACATGTAGCTTATGACAAAAATTTCAAAATTTAAGACATGTTATTTGTAAAAGTGAGAGTCAATTTTATTAGAGTGAAAGTAGTACTTAAAAAACATCATGTGATTTTCTTAAAAAATAAACTCATAACTTATAATTTGTTTCAATCTTGACCATTTTTATAAGATTCAATGGTTAATATGTATTTCTTTTGGAAAAAAAAAAAAACAAAAAAAACCCTCTTACTCTTACATGATATGTATCATGATTTAGATGTTCTAAATATAAAAAAACTTCAATTCAATATAAGTAATTAAGAAGGTTAGGAAGCAAATGTGAACACATAGAAAGCAGCTGAGCCAAGCCAGCTACCAAACAAAAGCTACCACCACCAACCTTAAGCTGCTAGTGTGTTGACAAATATCAAATTCAACGAAACCTGCATCATCAGCTACATGACATTATAATTAGCACAAATATTATTTTAATGGATATTTCAAGAACAAAACCAAGTGAAATATATATAAAAATATATATATATTTTTAAATTTTCTTCTTCAGAAGCTTTCAACAACGGTGGAGAGATATGGTGACGGAAACAGGTAGTGAAAAATCTCCGGTGATGTTAGCTTCAATTGAACCTAGCTAGTGCATAAAGTTATATTATAGCAACTTTTTATTTTAAAAAGTGATGGGACATGGAAATAGGGTCCACATCCTTTTTTTTCTTTAACATTTTTCGTTGATTTTGATATATATTAATCGCGATGTTTAGAGAAAGGAAAATAAGTTAAATGTTTTTCTTAAAAAATAGTTAAGTTTGATTTTATATTGGTTTAAATGTATTTGAGAGTCCCACAAATATAGTGGTTTTCATTAATTTTTAGTTCTTTTATTTTTTAAATTTTGATTTTATAATATTTGTTGTTACCTGCTTTTAGTCCCATTCACGTGACTTGTCATTACAAAAAATATGTTTAACGTTTATATATATATATATATATCGTTTTCTTTAGACTCTAAAATATATAATAATTTATTATTATTATTATTATTATTATTATTAATCATTATAAATATAGTGATATATATATTTTGTCAACATGGCCTAATAGTGTCACAGAAAAAGTATATAATCGAATGAATGACAGAAACAATGACGTGATATGGAAAAATAAAATAAAATAATAAAATTGTAAGTAATATATATATATATATATATATATATTTATTTATTTATTTTAGTAGAAGATTAATTCATGTTATAGAGTCATCCATTCTTATTTATTAAAGTTAATACTTTTGAGTAAAATAAGAAGAAAATATAAAATAACTTTTTTTATAAGTTAAAATTAATTTATATGCAAGTTAATTTGTAAAAGAAATGATTAATTTTTTTTTTAATTTTTTAACTTATTTATAAACTAATTTTAATTTACAGAGAAACTAAATTTTCATTTTTTTTCTTATAGTTTTTCTCAAAACGCTTACAAAGAAATTTATTGAATCTCTATACCAAATTTAAAGTAAGTTTTGCCTTTTCAATAAAGACTTATTTTATTCGTATATATAACTGAATCAACATAAGTATGTTTAATAAACTCATCTTTCTGTTGGTAAATTACATATTTTTTTAATTATATTATTAATGTAAAGTAATAATCATTCTTGTCTGTGACTAATTTTTTTTTTTTTTTTTAAATTATAACTGATACGTGTAAAACGTAAAATAAAAAAGAAAAAAGACAAGTAGGACATACGAATCAAATACACGTATTAAAAAATATATATATATATAGAGAGAAACCAATATTTTGTAGGCTTCCTGAGTAAGTGTCTTCCACACCACGGATCTTACAGCGTGTTGTATGAGCTGTGCGTAGACGCTCCTCTATTTAAGCACACAATCTTTTCTTCTTTCTACTTTCTTCTTCTCATATCTCTCTACCTAGCTATGCCTATTCCCCTCTCTTCCTATCACTTTCTCTGAACCTTCTTTCCTTCTATCTCATATAACATAACACATAAGATACACATATATATATATAACTCAGTTCATCAAACAAACCCATAGAACAAGTTAGTTGCTTATATAAGGCTAAGGCTTAATTTGATGATGATGGAAGAGCCTGTTGTGGTTAACAAAGGAGATGAGCCTTTGGATTTGCCTCCAGGCTTCAGGTTCCACCCCACAGATGAAGAGATCATCACTTGTTACCTCACAGAGAAAGTGTTGAATAGAGGCTTCAGTGCAACCGCTATTGGTGAAGCTGATTTGAACAAGTGTGAGCCTTGGGACTTGCCAAGTGAGTTTTTTTTTTTTTTTTTTCAATTTGATGTTGATTGTTATCATCTTTCATTGTGATTATTATTCATTGATCTGAATTGGGTTTTTTTTTTTGTTTGGTATGGTTTGGTGTGTGTAGAGAAGGCAAAGATGGGTGAGAAAGATTGGTATTTCTTTTGCCAAAGGGATAGGAAGTATCCAACAGGCATGAGGACCAATAGAGCGACTCAATCAGGGTATTGGAAGGCCACTGGTAAAGACAAAGAGATTTACAAAGGGAAGAGCAATCTTGTGGGGATGAAGAAGACCCTTGTGTTCTATAGAGGAAGAGCTCCAAAGGGAGAAAAGACAAATTGGGTTATGCATGAATTCAGATTGGAAGGCAAATTCGCATGCTACAACCTCCCCAAGGTTGCAAAGGTAATTATACCAATTAACTACCTCTTTTTCTTTTTTTCCTTTTCTTTTTTTTTTAAGACAACATTTTTCTCTGGGTTGAGGTTGAGATTTTGATAATCATGGATTTTCTTTCTCATCAATGATCTCCCTGGCTTTTAATAATCATCACTTTATAGAAAGTGCCTTTTGTGTTGTTTTGAGAGTTTTCTTTCATGAGGTGGTCCCTAAACGTACCATTTTGCTTTATTTAGTTCAATTGTTAAGATTCTAATAACAGTTACTTTTTTCCTTTTTTCCTTTTTTTTTTCTTTCTTGGGGCTGTTATTTTATCTCAGGATGAATGGGTTGTGTGCAAGGTTTTCCACAAGGCCAACAACACAGATGCTAACAAAAGGATCCCCATTAGCCCTGGCCTTTTGAGAATGAACTCATTTGGAGAAGATCTATTTGATTTCTCTTCACTCCCACCTCTTGTGGATCCTCTCTTTGACCAAACCTCAAACAAGCACATTGACAATGATTTCAAGGGTAATACTAATACTATTACTAACACACCTTCATCATCAACTAAGCCACCACCATCAGAAGGTTATAACTACCATCCCAACTTCTTCATCAACAACAATCAGCACATGCTCATGATGAAGCCTGAAGATCACAGAACCTATGAGTTTCCCACCAACAACTATGGTCAAAATCCAATGGGAATAAGCATGAGCACAAGCACAAGCACTAGCAATACCCTTCAGAATTCAACCTCACCCTTCAACATGTTCCAAGATCATTACATGCACCAAGGCAAGAACAACAGTTCCAACTTCATTCCAGGGTTGGACAAACAGTGCAAGGTGGAGCAATTCTCCAACACTAACACCAACCAGCCTGTGGTCAGTGCCTCTCAAGACACGTGCCTCAGCAATGACAGAAACACTGACACTTCCTCGGTGGTTTCGAAGCAAGATATGGGAAGAAACAAAGCATTGTACGAGGATAATCTTGAAGGCCCATCATCGGTTGCTGCACTATCAGATTTGGAATGCCTGTGGGATGATTACTGAAGAACAATTAATTGAAAGACATGATCAAGAGAGAGAAGTTAATTAATTAAAGCAAGTTTGTCGATTTATATGGTTTTTATATAGTTAATTACTATTACATACCAATATATATTTCTGATTTTAGACAGTCATACAGATATATGTTATATGTTAGACATGAAAAAAGTTCTGGGGTACACGTATACTGTATAGGTTATGATTGATTAGATAATCCAGGTCTTATTACAAAGTTAGGTTTTCATTTCGTAGATCAAGGACAAGGATTTGATCATGCTCATGTACATTTTTCTTTTGCAATGTATTAGTGGGTTTGTTTTATTAATTAATTTCTTTATTTTTTTTTTCTTCAGTTGCATTTGTCTTAATTCTCTAAATTTTGCTTGTAATGAATCTAGTTGAATACTTTCAAGTACTTATTGTTCACTTATTCTTGTTCATATTCCAAACATGTTTAATCGATATGTTTTCATCCATTTCAAGATCTTCAATAACTTTTCTTTTTGTGTTATGATTATTTTCTTAATCTATTGAGTAGGAGATTAATCTCGTTTTTGTAACACCCTCATTTACTGGCCACTGGCCGAGTTATCTTACATTTTGAATGATCTTAATTCCTGCTGTACAATATATATTTTATATATGCTGTTTGGAATATATCTATGTGACATCCCACCAAGAGTGGGGAGCATTAATTCCCAAGGAAATTGTTCATTTGTTTTTTCAACTTTGGAATTTAAAGGTTGTGGCTTCCTAGCTAGTGCCCCCCACCAAGGCATGACTATTGTTACCCTTATAAAGTTTCAAGTACCCCGAAAGATACGATGCTCCTGATATAAATCATTGGAAGTATCGTAAATGCTCTTAATAATCGTATGAAATAAGTCCATAGTTATTAAGTGATTGAAACAAGTCATTGCTAAAAAAAAACTTTCGTACATCATATTTAAATTATAAGCAATACTACTATTAATTGAATTATTAACTATATTATAAGGGAAGTAACGAAAATTATACAAGGGTGAATGTGAAGACACGAATTATATATGAGTGATGGGTAATTAATCAAGTTGATGAAGCACGTGAATAATTCCCTGAATCCGTGCAGAAGATGCCTCTGGTGGTGGAATTTCCAGAATATTTAAAAAGCACATATATACTAATAATTACAAACTGTTTGTGACTGCCGCTTGAATCTTCTGTCCAAAGAAACCTAGTCACCACATGTCTACCTAACCAAATTCTCCACAGTTCGAGTTGTTGTGTTAAATCTGTTTTATTTATTTATTTTTTAAATTTTTTTAAAATTTGTGCAAAATATACATATGTTTCGTACACCTACGAATAATGTAAATGTCTTGTGGGTATAAATGTACCTTGCTCAAGCTATCCATCAATGACCATGTGTATATATATTATATATATACACTTAATTAATTTCTATTTGTATGTATGTATAATTAAACGTGTGTAACTAGTATTTTCTTTTACCCATATTTTGTGTAGGTGTCGCTTAGGCACATAATTGAGGTAGCCTAAAGTTATAAGATGATAGGAAGAGAACAAAACTAGAAATACATGTGAGTGTGTTACGAAAGAAAGGGATAAGAGGGAAGAATTTAAACGCAATATGGTGAAAAGGAATGTGAAGGATCATATTTATGGTATGGATAATGGGATATATAACAAGTACGGTGGAGTTGGCAATATTGGAAGAAAAGTAATGATCATCATTCTCGTGAGTATGGAATTTTTGGGGGGTTTCATTTGAAAAAATGGAAAACATGGTAATGCCACATTCCTTTCCATTCAAAGCAAAGCGTTCATTGTGGTTTTATGCTTGCGGGAAACTTAACCGCCCTAAAATATGTATATGGTTGTGACTTCTTCGGCTTCTTTTGTTTTATTGCACTACTAATTGATCTTGGCGTTTTTCTTTCCCTTTCTTTCATGGGGGAAAAGGAGTGAAAAAATGGAAAGGTTGAGAAAGTGATTTAGGGGAAGCAAAGGAAGAAAGAGAATAATGCTTATCCATCTAAAAAGGGTGACAAAAGAAATAATCAAAATGGAAAATGGAAGAAGTGAACATTTATATGCTTGTTTCTGAATCAGAAAACCCTGATTTGTTGCATGAAAACAAGGGGTGAGGGTTGATGTTGGGCCTCACCAACCAATGAGGAGCCTCCATCAAATAATCATCAGTGTCCCATTGAAAACGATATTGCTGGCTACAACCTCAGCATATGTCACCTTTTTTCTAAAATTTCATGTACATTCATTCGACTAGGCTCATAACATTCCATGTCGTGTTTGCTCTTTTTCTTCCCTTCCTATGATTATTATTATTATTGTTATTCCATTTTTAACGTTTTCTCCAAATTTGTTTTTAAAAATTGTGATGAGAGCTTGACCCCATTCAAAATGTGTTGAAGAATATATTCTGTTCATGAAAACAACGGAGTTTAGGTACCTCACCTAATAAGCATATTTATTTAATTGGTTTTTAGGATTTGGATAACTCTTCTTTATTTATACATGGTTTTGGATAACATTCTTTTTTCAGAATCATGTGATTAGTGTGAAATATATTTATAAGTTTTGTTAATAATTATTTTTTGTCAAAAAATTTGACTGATCACTTTTAATAAAGTTTTTTTTCGATTATATTTTATTTATTCACAAAATTTGAAATATATACCTTATTTAAGAAGATTGAATTCAATTGTAACTTGAACAATCAAATTAACATGTAATTCTTTGCACATTCAATTTCTTGGATTTTTAATATCTTCAATCAATCTTGTCAAAGGAAACAGCATGGATAAATTAAAATCGGGAAGATCCACTTAAATACTCATAACATGTTAAAGAAATTAATTTTTTTTAATAACTGTCATATTGATGAAAAACATCTACTAACTTTTCTAATAAATAGTCTTTAACTATGGAATAGTTATATTATTTTGAGAGAAAAGATTTTTTAAAAAACTAATTTTCTCCACATGTCTACTTAAAAAATAAAAGAAAATAAACAAATTTTTATAACAATTTAAAATTTTATATACTTAATTTTTGAAAAGATGAGATTAACTTTTATAAAAGTTAAATTAAGTGATTTGATTTTAACTTATGAATAAAGTTAAATTCATTTTACTTTATTATTATCTTATATATATGTATAATGATTGAAGTAATAGAGAAAAAAAGTTATAAAATTATAATAAAAATATATAAAAATAATATAACTCCTACATATATATTTTTTAATATGAAATACATCTATTTAAAAATGTCGGTCTCAAAAATGAATCTAAATATCTCAGGAGATTAACCCTTAATTTCAGGCTGTAGAAAGAAAAAAATATAAAAATATAATTAAAATGTATTAAAGAATATTTTTAAAAAATATTTTTAATCATTTAAATATAAGGCAAATTTGATTTTGTTCCCTCACATTAAAATTTAATTTTTCAATCTTGTAATGCAAAAACAAATTATTTTAATCTCTCTACTTAAATATTATCAATGAATTTGTCAAATAAACTAAAATACATGGCCGAATTTGTTATATAGAATTCACAAACTAATATTTTTTAATAAAAATATTACATTAAACTTAATTATTGTCTCATAATAATGTCATTAATGTTACTTGTAACCTTAATTAAAAGACTAAAATAATTCTTTTAAAATTATATGAAGTACAAAAAATTAATTTCAATTTAAAAACAAATTACCACACATTGAAAAGACAAAATATATTGAAAGCAAAATAATATAACTGATATATATTCTTCTCGCATGAAATATATGTTTCTCACTTTTCTCGTCCGTTACATAATACTCGTGAGCTGGAGAATCATTTTTGCCATCATGATGCGAAGAAGTTAGCATAAAGATTTTTTAACCTTCAAATAGGTGATCTCCACATCCGACTTGCCCTTTCTTGAGTACACTATAAAGTTGCCATTATTGGTACATAAAAAAGTTAAGGTGCGTGAGAAAAATAATATGCGCCAATTGTATGTAGTTTTTTTTTTCTAACATTGTCATGCAATTTTAAGTTATTATGTATAATAAATTTGTTAAATTTGATAATAATCATCCTAGAAGTCACACAAAAATTAGTTTTAAGATTAAATTACATTACTCTCATATGACAGAGAAAAGTAGTATATTCCTCTTCTTTCTTATGTTAAAATATATAATTTAGTCTATTTAATTTAATATAAATTACATTCATCTCTTTTGAGAGATGTAAATATTACATTATTCACCATGTATATGTTAAAATAAAAAATAATAATACTTTTATTCCTTAAAATTTCAAGTATTATATATATTATCACTCTATTAATTAACTTGATATCATTAAAGAATTATCATTATAAGATTCTAAAAAATATTTTTAATTTAATTATTTATAAAGAAATTATACTTTTAACTTAATTATTCATGAAAAATATAATTTTAATTAAAATATATTTCAAAATATTTTTAAGTTCATTCCATTCATTCAATGAATCAAAAAATTGTAAAATATTTAATTAAATTAAAATTAGTTAAAATAATAAA